AAAGAACAGTCTATAGACTGGAGTGACCAGGTTTGAGTAGCGGTGGTGGGACTGCATGTTGTCCGAGCGGAGCGTGTTGATTGCCGTGTCCGTGGTGTGGCGTTGTGAGTTTCAAGGATGCTACAACCTTGGAGGTGGGCTGGATATCACGACCGGAATGGATCCAGTTTTTATAACACCTCCAAGGGTTGTAGTGGTTACGAAACTTCGTTCATGGGCTGAGGGTGCCGGTTCGAGGCCGTGCGTGCACGGCGGGGCCTGATGCCCTAAACGCACGTTGTTCAGTAACTACTGTGTGTGGGAGCACACAGCCCCCACAGCTGCCTCATTAGGGAAAAAAAAAAAAAAAAAACAGTCAATAGACTGCGTGTGGGAGCACACAGCCCCCACAGTTGTCTCATTGGGAAAAACAAGAAAAAGAACAGTCTATAGACTTTGTGTGGGAGCACACAGCCCCCACAGTTGTCTCATTGGGGAAAACAAGAAAAAGAACAGTCTATAGACTGTGTGTCGGAGCATACAGCTCCCGCAGCTGCCTCCCCGTTGTCAGGGGGGTAAGAAGAAAAAGAAAATAAAAGAAAAGAAGAAAAAGAAAAGAAAAAGAAAACGAAAAAACGAGATCTGAGTTTTTTTTGGAAAACTGTATTTTTCAATTTTTGCCACTATTTTTTTGGTGGCTTAAAACAATGTTTTTGACCTTGCAATTTTTTCTGTAGATAGTTAGGCCATGCGCATGAATTTTTTCAGATTTTTTTTATTAAGCGAATATCTTTCTAAAAATGCTCAAAGTCGGGGTACTTTTTGCACCCCGCCCTGAGCCTGTCGGGATTTGAACTCGTGCATTTTCACGAGTTCTTTCCCTACCTCTCCCAATCTGATAACTGCCATCCCCGTTTTCAGGGGAGGGCAGGGGAGAAGAGAGGAAAAGTAGAGAGGGGAGAGAAAGGAACAGTCACGGCCGCGAACGTGGTCGCGGCCGTGCACCAAGTTCAAGCAGTATTGGCCTGAATGTAGTCATTCAGGCCAGAGCTGTGAACTGGAGGGTCAATGAGGGGAACTTGGCTGGAAACAACCATTTTCCCGCTGAACCTGCACTCAGTGCAGGGCTGAGTGCAGGGAAAAGGGAGAAAAAGAGGGGGGCAGTTGAGTACAACTGCCACCCTAAGTGTGTGGCTGAGGTGAGACAGCCTCAGTCCGTTGATCTGGCTCATCAACGGCCCCAGGCAAGTGACGAATTTTGCCTGGGGGCAGCTGAGGCTGCTGCTGCCCTCCTCAGCCACTACAAAAGAGGCAGCTGTCCCCCAGCTGCCTCGCACTTGCCTCCAGCTGCCAGTGTGCGACAGCACACTTGCCTCATCGCTGGAGTGCTGGAGAGGAGACAGGAGTGCTGCCGGCAGAGCTGGAGGACTGCGGAGGAGCGCGACGAAGGAGGAAACAGCCATAGCCTTGGATGGAGCACTCTGCTCCACCCCTTGGCAGGCTGGTCTCAAAGGGGGACTCTGCGGCAGCGTGGTGAGGAGCGGCAGCGGAGCGTGGCAAGGAGCGACGGGGAGCACGACAGCTGGTGGAGGTGTGCCGACCGATATTTTCGGCAACCATTACCCATTTTGTGGGGTTATGCTGCCGAAATACCGCGGCGTAGACGCGACACCTTTATTTTGAGGGGTGACGCTGCCGTTTTCATGGCACGCCGACGGCACTTTGTTTTGAAGAGTGGCGCTGCCATCTTTTTGCAGCGGTACGGCACAGCGAAGCGCCGCCGTCTTTTTGCAGTGGTACGACACTGCGAAGCGCTGCCGTTTTTTTTTTTATGATGGTACGGCACAGCGAAGCGCCGCCGTCTTTTTGCAGTGGTACGACACGGCGAAGCGCTGCCGTCTTTTTGCGGTGGTACGACACGGCGAAGCGCTGCCGTTTTTTTTTTACGGTGCTACGACACGGTGAAGCTTGCCATTTTTTTTACGGTGGTACGGCAAGGCGAAGCGCTGCCGTCTTTTTTGCGGTGGTACGACACAGTGAAGCGCCACCATCTTTTTGCGGTGGTACGGCACGGCGAAGCGCTGCCGTTTTTTTTGCGGTGGTACGGCACGGCGAAGCGCTGCCGTCTTTTTGCGGTGGTACGGCACAGCGAAGCACCGCCGTCTTTTTGCGGTGGTACGGCACGGCGAAGCGCTGCCGTTGTTTTACGGTGGTACGGCACGACGAAGCGCCGCCGTCCTTTTACGGTGGTACGACACGGCGGAGCGCTGCCCTTTTTTTTTTTTTACAGGGCACGACGCGACGACGTGCTACCATTTTCTGACGAGAGTTTGACACGGCAGTGGAATTGCGGCACGACGGTGGGACGTGCGGTGCGGCAGTGGAAGTTTTTTTCTACGGAGCTGAAAGGTTTTTGTTGTGGCGCTGCGTGAAGATCTGCTACCATTGGTGTGTACGATAGCAGCAGCGTGACATGGTGGCGGTTGACGGCATGCGACGGTACGAAATCTGAGCGCGATAAGCGGGTTTATTTTTTTTATGCGGCATATCAGATAAATGTTTTGTAGTTGGGACTACCCAACACTTGCGGCAGTGGGACTGGACTACTTGGGACTGCCTCGATTCAGTTGGGACTGACGTGGGACGCAAGCTGTCATTTGCGGCGATCCCAACGCAGACGG